ATTATTCAGTCTCATAAAATATTAAGATGTTTAAAATTTTTTTTAAAGATTTTTTTTTTTTTTAGAGAAAGAAGTAGGAATTACCAGCTTACTGTCTCAAGTGACCAAGGGGAGGATTACACACAATCATATCTCAGTTTGATTAGGACATTGATTCCAGGACACTTGTAAACACTAAAATCCATGGCTGTGCATATTAAAATAGTGTGGCATTGGGATACAACTTATTATGTGCATTCTCCTCTATATTTTAAATCATGTCTGAATTACTCACAATATCTAATACAATGTAGATGCTATATATATGTTGTTACATTGTATTTATAGAATAAAGACAAGACAAAGTCCATATGTGTTCAGTACACAGCAGTTAAATTATGTTTTCAATCTGTCCTGGCTCAGTCTGTTGATGGGGAACCAGTGAATACAGAGGGCTGGTGGTGTACGGTGTGAATATATTGTACAAAGGAAGGATTCACATGGAATGGTATGAAGTTGAATGGCACAACATTTCATCATGCTACTCTGAATGGCATGCAGTTTAACTCTTATGAGTTGTATTGATGGAATTTTTTATGTAGTATTTTCAGACTGGTTGAAACCTGCTAACTGAAACTACATAAAGTGAAACTATGGATAACTGAGGACTACTGTATTTGGTGTGAAAGTATCTTAAGGCAGGGGAAATACACTTAATTCTAGTATGATAACATCCTATGCATGATTTAAGTCCTTTGACATTTATTGGGATTTGCTCTTCACATATGTTTGAAAAAGAATCTGAGCTTTGTTGATTTTCACTAGGATATTCTGTATATTTTTTATTAGGTAATTTGTTAAGTGTTATTTAAATATTCTACTCCTTGTTTTGATTGCTTGTTTTATCATTTTCTGAGGGAAATATTTTAATATTTCTTACTGTTGATATTGTTATTATATATTGATATTTACATATTATATATATTTTATATTTAAATATTATGTTGTTATATTGTTATTTTTTTATTAGAATTATGGCAAATATTTATATGTTTTGAGCTATGTTTTTAGTTTCATGACAGTTTTAAAATTATATCAATCTTTTAATTAAACCTTTTATTTTTATAAAATGATACTCTAATAATCTTTATTTTTATTCACTAAAGTTTATGAGATATATTGACCCTAGTTTGTTTTTGGTTTAATATTTGCTGTTATTCATTTTTGTTTGTTATAAATTTTCTGTTTCTCTATTTTACATACATAAATTTTCAACCCAATTGGATAATCTTTATATTATTATTTATAGTGATTATATTTGGGTTATTTACCTTGAATGCCCATCATGATGCATTGGAAATTAAATGCTTTGTACTGTTTTGTGTTTTACATTTGTCCCTCAGTCTAACATTTTCCCTCTAATTTTTCCTGAGATTGAATTTTTATGTTCCTCCTCTACTATTTGAAAGATACAGTCTGTTTTCATTCTTTAAATGGTTACTCTGGCAATTAAATATTCATAGTAATAAAGTTTTAATTTAAGTGGTACCTGTAAGTTTTCATAAAAAGTAACTAAAAAGAGGAAAATTTTACATTGGCTCTCAGTTTTGCAGGTGTGAGTGGTAGGCCAAAACCATTCATCTCATGGCTAGAATGCAACTTTGTGAGAGGAAGAGACCAGAGGCTGTGTCAAGGGCATGCAGTGACTGGAAGACCTCCCATTACCTCCGACCTATTAAAGCTTCTACCACCTCCACATAACACCAAGTTGGGAACTAGTGTTTAACACATAGGCCTTTGCGGGGAGGCATTTAAAGTCCAGGTTAGAGTATTTTGCTCCTGGCTCTCAAAGACTCATGTCCATCTCACAATGAACATGCACTCAGTACATCATTTTTTATTTTGTTTTTTAAGAAAGGGTCTCACTTTGTAGTTCAGACAATCCTTGAATTTACTAAATCGCCTAGGCTAGCCTTGAACTTGTGGTGATGCTCCTGCCTCAGCTTCTGAGTGCTGGGATTACAGCTATGCTTTTCCATGCATAGTGCAGTACATCTTTTAAGAGACACTGAAGTATAACTGTTACAGCATTGTTCAAAATTCCAAGTTCAAAGTCTCATCTGAGACTCAAGACATGTTTTTCAGATCCTGTAAAAATCAAAAGAATTATGTACTTAAAATATACAATAGCACAGGATGAACATTGTCATTTCAAAGGAGAGTAACAGAGAGATAAGAAGCATCAGACCAGAGCAAGACTGAAGCCCATTAGGGCAAACATTAAATCCTACAGATTTCTGTGCAGCATCCAGGTCACATCGTGGCAGGCAGAATCCCAAAGGTTTCTGCAGTCCCACCCTTGTGGCCTTCCTGGCTTCACATGAGCAGATTTTTGCAGGCTTCCTGCAATTCCTTGGGGAGGAAATCCATGTCCCTGTCATCTCTTCCTTCCTTAGTTCTCCACCCCAGCTTCAGCTTCACACATCAACCTGTCAGGGGCTACTTACAGGGCCTTCAATTCTCCAGCATACTCTCTGGCTTCTGAAGCTTTCCTTTGAAATCTTGCTGTAAGCCTCTGTCACCATATAACTCTTGCATAACACATGCCCCCAAAAAACAGTATCCTGGAAAAGATGCCCAGTGTCTATTGCAATTATGAGCTGTAACCTGGACCCACTTGAGCTTCAGCTGTGTAGGAGGTGAGTGCTGGCTGGCTTAGACAATCCTGGTCAAGCATGGTGCCTGGTATGCTCTTTTGAGAAGTATCTGCTCTGAAAAGACTATGAAACAGATTTTTATTTCTAATTTCTGGGCCCCTGATACCTGAGGACTTGATGATTTTGAGGTTTCCTCTAGGAATCTTTTCTGTTGTTCAATACAAAGGACTTGGCTTCTTTCTGTTGGCACCTATCGCTGCACTGTCCTTGAAAAGCACTTTTAAATATGTTCCCTTTCAGGCACAACTGTATTTTTTTTCAAATCCTTCTGCTCTGTTCCTTTTTGTTCCTAATTTTCAACATACATTTGGCTAAAACCAATCAATAATACCTCCGCTGGGGCCTGAATGCTATGCTGCCTTGAAATTTTCTTTTCCAGATGAAGTAGTCTGTCACCTTTAAGCCTAACCTTCCCCAAAGCCTCAGAGCATGGATAAAATTTATTGACATTTATTGACATCATATAAACAGTGTGGCTGTTAACACAATTGCTTCATTTTTATCTGAAACCTCATCAGAATCACCTTTATAGTCCATATACTCACCAGCATCTTCCGAATCCTCACCAGAACCACCCATTAAGCTCTAATTACAGTATTGTAGGCTTTCTCTAGCTCACTCCATCAAACTTTTGCAAATTCCTCTTGCAAACCAATTTCAAAAACTCTCTGACATAATTATATACAGTGATGACTCTTGTTCTTAGAAACAATTTTCTGTGTAAGCTTTCATAACTATATCAACTTACAAAGAAATAAGGTTTATTGTGGCTTACAGTTTTGGAGGTTGCAGTCAATGATGCAGTCAGTGGCTTCCTTGCTTTTAGGTTTTTGGTGGGGGTGTAGTATATCATGCCAAGAGAATGTGGCAAAGCGAAAATGGTCACTTCATGACTGGATGCAAAAGAAAGTGAGGAAGTGATGAGAGTTCCCTTTAAGGACATTCCTCTATTGGCTGGAAGGCCTACCTACCTGTATGACTTACCTATTAAAGTTTCCACCGCCTTCCTTCTGGGGATTACATATTTAATAAGGGAGGCTTTTGTAGACATCAAGATCCAAATTATAGCAATGTGCATTTTAATTTGATCTCTGAAACCTATCAATAATATTTCTATATAGTCAGTATTCATATCAAGAAATATTAGTTTACTATAGATAGTACAAACCATTCTAAGTATTTAAATATAGGATAAAAATCATCAAATATCACTCTCCAAGTTATTGGAGTCAAAATTATAAGAGGAAAACTACAGGTAACAAATTTAATATACTAAAGTGTGTAGATCTGCCAAAGGGCCTGGTTAAAAATATAGCTGTAGAGGTCGAAGAGAAAGTACTTATAGGTACATGATAGAGAATTTGATAAGCAATTCAGTAGCGGTGCTTGTGGTAGGAAAAAAGAACCACATAGTGAGTGACTACAAATTGGTAAGATTGCTTCAATAGTGGCTGTCATCACTTCTTTTCTCTTTAATCCTTCTCTCCTTCCATCATTTGCTTCCTGCCTCTCTCCCTCCCTCCTTTTCTTTCTTCTTTCATTTTCCTCAAAATTCTGAAGTCATATTCTATTTTTCCCAAAGCAATCATAATTCTATAATTAACAGGTTAAGATTTTGCATATACATTTTTATAATGCATGCGAAGTTGCTAATTATATGAAATCTGGAGAACCAATTTAGTAAACAAACTATTGAATTTGCTATATTGATTATCTAACTAAAAGGAAATGTTACAAAGAATAGTCAAAAAATTTAAATGATTTTCCCCTATTAAGTATATGTGATTTTTATGTAGCTGAATGTAAAGAGCTATCTCCTACGTTTTGGGAGCTGTGAACTGAAAGCCAAAGCAATCATTAATGAAATAGACATAAATATCACAACATTTTAAAAATGCTTAAGATTTTTAACAGGTGATACAAAAAATAAAAATTATTTTTATTATTAACCTTGAAAAGAAGGTAATTGAAGAATAAGATTTAAGATAAAAATAGAACTGTATTTCACATTCCAGCTGGTTTTGGTTTGAGTTACAGAGTGAAAATGACCTCATCTTGTTTTTTCCCTCAGCTTTGGCAATATCTGCTGAATGGTAATGAAGAGAGAAAAAATACTGAAGAAGGTTAAGGGAATTTTTTATTTACAATTAGGAAAAAATAATGATTAAGAACAGTCTTTCCAACACACTTCCTAGACACTGACTGAATTAACTAAGTAAAATAAAAATTGAGTAAGGACAGTCCACTCTTCACTGCTCAAAATAAGAAGTAATGCCAAATACATGACCCAAAATCTTGAGGCAGTTTTGTCATTATTAATATGTATTATATTAAATCACTGATTTTTTTAGGATTATTTATTTTTGAAATTACTGGTATTCTGGCCATTAGGGTCCCAAAATGTTCCCCTGGAAAGGTGCCCACTGTTGAGCAACGGGAACACAGCAAGGCCACCATCTTATAGGCTGAACAAATCTTACAAAATGAATTGGGAAATGTTCTTTCCTGAAAGAGGTTATGAAGAATTGGTATTTTTTTTCTTTTTTATGTATTTGGTAAAACCTGTGTAGTGAAGCTATCTTGGCTGGATCTTTCCTTTATAGGAATACTTTAAATTATAAATTCCATTTCCTCTCTTGTTGTAGATCTATTTAAATTTTCTGTATCTTCTTAAGTTAGCTTTAATAATTTGTGTCTTTTGAAGAGTTTGCCCATCTCATCTGTATTTTCTCATTTGTTAGCATAATACTGTGGGGTTTAAATTTTTTTCTCATTATAACTTTTAATTTTGGTCACATCATTAATAATATTGTCTCTTTTATTTTGACTTTAGTAATTTATGACTTTATCTCATTCAGCCTACCTAAATCTTTGACAATATTGTTTATATTTCCAAGGAGTCAACTATTTTTCATTGGTTTTCTCTGTTTCTCTAGTTACCCATTTAATCAATTTCTTCTCCAGTCTTTATTGCTTTGATTCTGATTGCTATGGTTTTGTTTTTGACAAGTTTCTCAAAAAGAAGTTTAGATAATTGATTTGAGATATTTAATCTTTTCTAATATAGGCATTTCTATAAATTTCCTTATAGGCACTGTTTTAATTTTATCTCATAAATTTTGAAGTGTTGTTTTAATTCAACATAAGTATTTTCTAGCTACATTTGCCATTTTCTCCTTGATTCTTAGATTCCTTAAAAATAAGTATTTAATTTCCAAATGTATTACATTTTACTAACCGAACTTTTGTTTTTAATTTAATTTTTCCATGGTCAGAGGACATAATTATTTTATATTAATTTTTAAAAATTGAGACTTATTTTATAGCTTTGCTTGAATCATATATTGTGGAGAATTGTCTCATGTTGTTGGGAAGAAATTCTATTTTGGGTGGAATGTTTTATAAAAATCAGTTAAGCAGAGTTGGTGGGTAGAATTTTTATATTCTTCAATATATTTATTTACTCTGAAATCACTCTACTTACTGCTTAGGGTGTGATAAAGAAGTCTATAACTCTTATTATGGAATTGTCTATTTTTCCCTTCATTTATGTTAGTTTTTACATCATCTGTTTTGGTGCATTGTTGCTAGGTGCACACATGATTAGCATTGTTATGTATAATGAGTAAATTGACCCTTTCATCAATATAATCTTTTCCTTGGCTTCTAATATCATTTGTTCCTTTAAAAAA